AAGCCAAAGATCTGCGCCTGACCTTGGCTTCCAAGCCCCGAGGGGGGGAAAGGACAAACATCTTGCATGCCAGAACTGCATAGTTGAAACACATATATCCCTATGGCTCCTGGCCCACCTCCTGAGAAGATGGTTGGGGTGGGTGCCACGGGGGTCTAACCACCTTCTGAGGATATGGTTGGAGCCCTAGGATACATACCTGGAGCCTGAGTGACCCCTGTTTTGGAGGATCAACTATCCAAAATATGGTCTTTTCCTATCAAAACAGAGGTCAGTCAGGCTCTATATATATATATATATCATCACCCTCAGGTTGGCTACATCACCGATTCCAAAGATCTTCCAAGAAACAGGAAGGAATAACGTCTACACCCACAGCATGTTTTGCCGAACAAACATCCGCATGTCCCTTCATTCCATTCCGAAGAGCGAGAAAGAACCACCACACCGGCGGGTCAGTTTCATCTCATTTAGCTGGAATTGACCATACAAAAACACCACCCAGCCCGGGCTCGCCTGGTTCTCCCAGCAGTGCTCCACTTAGATCCTCTGCCTCCTCGTGACTCTTTACATGGTTCTTCTTCACCTTTCAATGAGCCTTCCAATTCTTGTTTCCCCAAAGAACCTCAACTGCTTGGTATATATATATATATGAGGTAGAACATAAACTCATCATCTCTGACAACCAACCAAGTGGGTTAGTTAGCCATCCACCCACCTGGGTTTCTTCCGGGGCACAGGTGCCCAATTGTTCCGGCTCAGTATCCAAGACTTCCGTGGAGATCTTCCTCAGCTCCGCAGGACCCGCGAGTGGAGCGGGGAGCGAGTGGATGGGAGCGTGTTTTCCGCCGCCGGGTTGTGTGGGATGGGAGTGTGGAAAGGGACACATCGGCCGTCGTTCGATGTACCTGGAGTCGACCCGTTCGTAACTCGGGTTCAATGGGTACAAAGTACCTGGTTTTTGATGGGGTCATGTCCCATGTTCTAAGGTACTTGAAGTCGGGTCCAGGTAGTTCTCTCTGCCCAAACCATCCATATGAGACTGGCATACATACTTGACCGATCTGGTCAGGGGCCAGGGGTGGTTGGTTGGAAAGACATCAATTTTGGATATTCTATGGATGGTCTGGGATAGGCAAGTTGGGCAAATGATGGCAAATGGCTCATTGAGCTGTGAATTGTTCGGGTCCACCCAACATCACCCCAACATCTCCCAGAGGCACCTACCGAACCTCAGGTACGATCCGCGCCAAGCTACCGAACCCAAGGACCGCCTTCCACGGTGCTCCGTGCTCGTCCTCCGCGCTCCGCGTCACGGTCCACGCCGTTTGGGAGCCCAGTGGCCAGAGCTCACGGTCGAAGATGGGGACCACCTCGCTGGTGACCGAACCACGCAACGAGAGGACCGTTGTTTGATGTGTTGCGACGGAAGAAGAGTCTATAAGTCATAGTCATCTGAAAAAGGACAGAAAAAAAACATCGCTGAGATCCACTGAGTCATAGTAAAAGCATATTATGTTTAGGCGAGTGCTGTCCGGAATTCAATCTCATTCTATGTCAGAAACTTCCAACTGTGCCAAAATGTCTGCCCACCTTGGCTGCGTTGTTGTCCATGAAAAGGCAAACATGTTGCACAGTTGGAATGATACACACACATCATAACGGCCTTCTCTGCGGAGAGCAGCAAACGCAAATCCCCGTGGACTCTCTAAGACTGAGACGTGTAATCTGCTAAGGTCCAACTTCATTGTATACACTGGGATGACTGCAACGATCGCTTTCTATGTATGATGCCACTGGCATGCCGCTGTACGCACTTCCTGTACCTTCGTGGTAAGATGCAATTTGTATATCAGAAACCATGTCAGTGCCCCATTCAAATGAATGGACCCGTTAAGCGGAGAAAGCCAGTTTCTCGTCGGGCGGAGAACAGTTATAGGCAAACACTCCATGTATATGTGCCATATATTTGCTGGATCAGTCTGGGTGTTTTTTGGGGGGCCAATGTAGGCATATACCAGCACCTTCCAACAGGCTGTTTGGAGACCCTAACAGGTGGTTTCTGGGCACCTGTTGTCACCAGGAAGCACCTGTTGGAGGGTGCTGGTATATTCCATATAAAATGTGGAGTGTGTGAGTATTAAATACATGATTGATCCGGGTGTCCTCAACGGCCAACTTATCACATCTGAAGCCGCGGAGGCTCAATGTCTTCAGCTGGACTCCACCATAGAAACGCTTAAAACCAAAAAAAACAGCATGGCCTCGGTCGGATAGCTCACAAGGAGATCATAGAGGTTGGCAGAGAACTGATGAACATGACTGCCTCACGTGGTGGCAAGAATGCACAGAAACCCAATGCTGCCTCGCTTCTTTTGAGCATTCACCTATACCTATGGCTCTAAGACAATCTCTATGACCTATTGATAAGAGGCATATGTTGACATCCAATGTAAATCTAGGCCAATCCACTACATGTACCTCATCTTTGACTCCCCATAGTACCTATGATGCATCACTGCCCTCGGTGGAGTCACGTGGAGTCGAGAGTTCATCCATTTTTCCCGACAGGGTGCTCCTGTCATGCGCCACTTTTGGGCCATGAAATCTGATACTCTGTTGGCATCCAGACTCGTCTTGCAACGCGGCGCGCAAGACGTGGCACCCAGGCCAGGGAAGACTTCCTCAAAATGGAAGGCAGCGCGCCTCCTTGGGGAAAACATTATCAACCGCTGAGTTGGACACATACACTCATGTCAACTATATACTTGGAGAAAATCAGGATGAGGTTTTCAGCTGAAGTCCGCCTGGCCAACCCTGGGCCAAAACTGATGCTCCATGATACTCCCATAAAGAGTAGGAATCAAGGGCTCCCTAGATACTCCCCGTGTGATCACCTCATCTCTTGCATGCTTAACCACTAGCTAGTGTTTACAGCAATCTCCAAGCCACAAACTTGCTCTCCCCGCTTACCGGGGTGATGTCTCTTTTTGGCCCCTGCTTGTTCTCTGCGGTGCTTCTCATCAACTCGTTCAACTCGCCGAGCCGACGTACTCCGCAGCATCTTCAGCCGCTTCCTCTCCGCCGCCATGGCACACATCGAAGACGCAATCCGCAAAGACCTGCCGAGTGACAAACCGTAAGTCCATCCAACGTCGGTAGGGCGCAAATTGATCGAGCTGATCAATTAAGGTCTCCCAAAACACCCAACAACAACATCAACGACGCATAAGGCCCATAAGGTAAGGCCAAGCCATGGCCAAGCCATAGAATCCAATCGGATGTTCCCATCGATTCACTAAGGGCTGTTGTTTCTGTTGTTTTCGACTTCGACTTCGGCCGATCACCTTCACTCCACCTACTTCCGGGACCTCCGTCGCTTCGACATCGCTTTCGTCCGTCCGTCCGTCCGTCGGCTTTCGTCGCTTCGATTCCGGTCTCTGCGTGCGTGGCGCAGGGGAGGTCTGCGGGGCGGCTGAAGATGGAGGTTCTTCAGCGATCGGATTTTGATCCAAACGAAAACGAAGAAAGCACCCAGCCCACTGGATCCGCACGAGGCAACAGTCATTTGACCTTGTGGGAACTCAGTCCCTTCCAGTTTGGGAACTCCACCTAATTCCAAAGTGGGAATACGCTCATAGATCTTTAAATCAAAGCTGCATAGGCTCAAGGAAACGTGACACCAATGCAACATCTTCCCCATGCGATTTACCTGTCTAAATGAAGCATCACCTGCTTCGTCGTCAAGCAAGATGAAGGAGGTCATCCCACCTGCCACCCCTAAGGATCCATCTCAGAAGGTGGCAATGGATATCGGATGGTGATTTGTAGGACCGCCCGAGTGGTGCGATGCGGCGCCATGGTGGAAAAACGACGTCTACACTCCCTGAAATCGTTAATTACACCCTAAGAATCCGGGCCCGAAGCAACAAATAGGGTTTGGTGAAGGGGCCCGGACCCCCTGCGAAGAGGTCGGGTCCGACCCCTGCCATGGAGAGCCCGGAGCTCGGATTGTGACATGCAAAAACCACCTGGTTGGTCTTCGGAGAACTCATGGTCATCCATCGGGGCAATGCCATCTACTTCCGTGATTGCAGGGAGTGTATATACAGTATATGGAGTCTCCAAATACCTGAAAAATCTGAGTACTATATATAAACTATAGTACTCCGTTTTTATGGTCATGCCCCATTTTCTCAATGTACTTGAAGTCGGGGTAGATTTGGTTTAACCATCTGGGTGCCTCTGAGGTCTCTGGCAAGTGCTTGCGACAAAGCTTCAAGGCATCCTGAGCAGACTCTGGGGGAGTTCAGTCCATCTGATGCATCTCGTTCGGGCTCCGTTCGGCCGCTCCCTCCGTCGCTTCGATGGGACAGGGGTTCGGTGGGTAGGTAGGTGGGTGGTTGCCAGCGGGGTTGAGGTCCCCACCGAACCTTTTCAGGATGTGGGCCGTTTGGAGCACGTGGGAGCCCCATACGGCCCCCCCATGGCAGCCTGGTGGCTCCCCCCTATAAGGAGGAGGAGTGGTCAATGGACAGACCGAAACCTGGAACTGCCAGGGGCGATCCCAAAACGACAGCCCTGTGGCTATAGGGGCACTGGGTATGGCGATGTTGGTGGTTTTTGGGTGGCCATGTTGGTCAATGCATTTGCCTCATGGGTTCTCTGAACAATACCATATCCACGTTTCGTTCGAACCACGGTGGCCCACGGTGGCCCACCTGGCGGCTCGGATCTTGGACCCGCTCCCTGAAGCGAATTCGGGCTTTGGACCGAAGAAGCCTGTAGCACCGTGTAGCACTGTAGCAGTTGGTTCGGGTCCGCCTTCAGGTGGTTCATACCTACAGTAGATCTTCCAACTGTGCAAGGTTTGATGCCAACCTTGGTTGATTTAATTGATGAAAAAGGCAGGACATTCTGCACAGTTGGAAGATCCAGGTATTATGTTACACTGTTACACTCAAATCTAACATAGACCCTGACTGTCTGGCCCACTGGAAGTTTGTTTTCCTCTGTGGTTTTCAGGGTCCATGTTAGTCTTCCAGGCTGTGTAGGACACGCCACATCAACACCCCCAGTCACCACCAAGAACAGAATGCGAGTTTCACGGGTTCTCTGGTGTATACACTCTGACGAAGCCCATCATATGGAAGTGGATGGTATGGTTTTGCTGGAAGACGATTCTCCTCTACAATCTACAACCAGGTGGTAGATGGTAGCGGGTCACCCCTTCTAGGTAATGGTAGTGGGTCCGACTCCTTCAGATTCCCTGGATAATAAAGCTCATATAACCATGTCCATGGTTCAACCTTTTCCATGGGGTGCCACCATTCCCCCCAAAAACAAGCTTGGGTAGGTGATCCACGTATGACTCCTGGGTATGGGCTTCATTCCTACGTCCAAGAAAGAACCACATTGCACCTCCCTCCACACCTGAGACCTGGCCAGGTCTCTTGTTCCCCGTCTTCCATACAACCCTTCTCGGGTTGATCCTTGGCGGCCTGTTCCACGGCGTCCAAATACCTTGGATTTGCCGGCTCACGGTTCGGAAGCCTGGAAAAACATAGAAAAAAAAACAACATGTGGGGATTGAACATGAAAATAAGGACAAAACCCGTTTGGCCTCCAGTCGTACCTTCGTTTCGGTTCGGTAGGACTGGGGGGCCCGGGTGCCATGTTCCGTCGGGTCCAGGAGCCTACCGAACCGCTGAGGTTCGGTACGACTGGAGGTGGGAAATAAACCCTAGGGCTCCAACCATATCCTCAGAAGGTGGTTAGACCCCCCCAAACCCACCCCAAACACCTTCTCAGGAGGTGGGCCAGGAGCCCTAGGGAAAATGAAATAAACACATGCACCAGCTGCTTCCAACGGGTCACCTGGCTGGACAACCCTACCCTACTAGCCTAGGTCTCCTACTCCAGGGCACCCATTGGAAGTGCTAGGCTCCGCCCAAGCCACTCGGAGGCCTCTCGACTGCCACCCAGCAAACGCCAATCGTCCAACGACTGGAACTCCGCATCGGTCCTCATCTTCAGCCACAAGTTCGAGCGGGACCTGAGCATGCAGAGGTCGGAACCGGAGGCTCATAGCAAGGGATTTGGGGGTTTAGACCCTAAGAATCCGAGCTCCGGGCTTGACCTCTTGGCAGGGGTCGGACCTTCTCCACCGTTTCACGCAGGGGTAGTCTGGGCCCCTTCACCAAACCCGGATTCTGTTGCTTCGGGCCCAGATTCTTATGGTACGAGTAGGCCTTATTTAAGGGGAGGCTATTCTTTGGAATGAAGAAACAATTGAAAAAAACAAAACGTCAGGGACGATCGTCCGGACTGGAAGGATGGATGGGCTTTCAACGTCCCCAGCACCATCCAAAGGGTGGTTATTGGATAGCAAAATACATCTTCATGGGGGGTCTATACACCCAGATGTTGCATCATTGGAAGATTCATGCCTCCAAAAACCCAGGTCAACCACTCGGTCGCCGGGAATGCCAAATGCCAAACAGCTCGCGTCTCTGTTTTCATCCGACTGGGGTCAGCTCTGGGTCGTGGCTCACTCCGCAACAGTTCACAAAAGAATCTGCTTGTCCGGTGGTTTCCATGTGCGAACAAGCAAACTGCCCCGCGCCCCACGCCCAAACCGACCCGACTCGTCTCATACCGATGGGATGGGATATGACCCCATGAATTAAGAAGAGTCATGTACTTGTATCTCATTTTCCGAGGTACGAACTGAGACTCCAGGATGGAATAGTCACATACTATAATATATCATACATTGGGGTCATTTTCATGGGGTAAATGTAAGTACATGTAAGTACTATGATGATTGGTCAGTGGTCTTCAATGATCCCAAGTAGATATTGAGCAATATTGCACATACCAGGACCTTCCAACAGAATGGTACGTTCAATATACATTTGTTGGTACATGCTATGTCATGCATTTCTTTTACATGGATGGTCACACCAGGGTCTATACTGCAAATAGCCTCTTAGAAGAAAAGAAAAGGTGTCCAGAAACCACCCACCTTGGAAGGTCCTGGTATAAATCATCGGACACCACCACTGACCATCCAAGTCACACCCCATGACCATCGGACTGGAAGGCTTCAGTTGGTGACCCTGACTGAGATCCCGAGATCCCGAGGTCAAGTCCCTAAAGAGGTCGCAAAGAGAGACAAGATAAAAAAAGGAGAACTGACCCTAGGGATCCGTTTTCGTACCGAACCTCAGGTTCGGTACGACTGGCACCTACATGTCTCAGTGTCGAACACATCACCGAGCCTGAGAAGGTACAACTGGATCCCTGCATTGAAGAAGGTCCTGGTACATCTACCCCCATCAACATAACCCATTCAATCCATGTGGGAGACCCGATGGTCCGGATCGAAGTCTGTGTGTTTCCCGTTTGGCCTCCTGTCGTACCTTCTGAGAAGGTGGGACTGGGGTGGGTTTGGAGCTCCACTTTCCTTCTGAGGAGGTACTTGGAGGTGTAGGGATATGATGATATGACAACATATTACCCTGAAAGGCGAGGATACGCAAAAAAATGACATCACCCCGATCTGCAAATGCAGGTGCTTGCCCAAGACACAGGAGCAAAAGCTTCTTCTCCTTTTCGGGTTCCTTCTCTTCCTTCTCAATCTGCCCCAGTTCTCCTCCCGCAAAGTCTGCATCGCGGAACATGATGATCTTGTAGTCCAAATGCCTCTTGAGCCGACAGGTCACCTGAAGCTCAGCCACTTTCTTGGCGCCTTCCTCCGTGTTCATCAGCAAATTGATTCTTGAGAAGAACTTGGGTCGGCTCCTGAGGAGTCAAACCGAACGTGGCACCCTGATGCGCCAGAGTTGGATCCTGATGAGTAAAAGGGTCCCCCCCCACCAAACAAACAGCCCTAAGAATCCGGGCCAAAACAAGCAACAGTATCCGGGTTTGGTGAAAGGGCCCTTTTCCCCCTGCTAAGAGGGAGAAGGTCCGACCCCTGCCATGGAGAGCCAGTTCGGATTCTTAGGGAGCATTATATTAGACGACCCTATTACCACCCTATAGGGATCCAGTTGTATCTTCTCAGGTTCCAGGTTCGGTGATGTGTTCGACACTGTTGTGGGTTTGGAGGGTCCAGTCGTACGTAGCTTCCGAGGAAATACTTGGATCCCTATATTATAAATCAAAATCCAACTCCCTACCCCAACTCCTTGAACCATTCTTCTCACGGTGGAAGCTATCCAACATCGAAGCTCTCCGAGCTCCCACGGTTGAACACAAGCAGCAGTGACCAGGTTTGAAGGATTCATTAGTCTTCTGTTGAACATGGCCCGAATGGAACATCCTCTCAATGACCGAAAAACATGCTGGACCCGACTTCAAGTACCTTAGAGAAAGAGGCTATGACCCCCGCCCCCCCCAAAAAAAAGAGATACTGTATAAATATAAATATAAATATATATATATATATATATATTTGAGACTCCAGGATCACATCTTATCAAATGAACAACAAACACATAAACTCACATCAAATTAAGGCTTTTCTTTTCAGGCATTGTAGATAGGACATTGTTATCGACAACAAGGCTTGTGTTAATATTATTATTTAATAAAACACACACACACACACACACCAAACATCGATTTCAACCGTTCAGGTGTCCCAGCTGGCTTCTTGAGCTCCGTGATCTTGAAGCCGCTGAGGAACGCCTCGCTTCCAGGCACGAAGAGACTTCCCTCGGACTGCGTCGCCTCCCAGCGGTGTTTGGCGCCCGGCTGCTGGTGCCAATCGCAGGTCTCAGTGGTCAACTCCAAGGCTTGACGGCTCGTATGGTTCGAGTGGTCTCCTGAGCCCGGAGACTGGAGCAGGTCAGGATCAAAGTGGAACACCGGCTTCGATTCGTAGAGCCACATGGGTCTTGTTAGGGGTCTAGAGTCTATGTTTCTATACTTCCATGTGACGTGACGTGAGAGTCGCCATAGGAGTGTATCTGGCACGGATGCTTGGGTGGGTGTGCGGCAGGGGAATGCACGTATTATTTGTGGTCTCGCACAGGAACAAATGGCCCTAGGGCCCTATAGGGCTCCAACCTATATCCTCAGAAGGTGGGGACTGACCCCCCCTGGCACCCACCCCAACCACCGAACCTCACGGAGATAGGCCAGGAGCCCTATAGGAAGGATCAACGAATGCTTCGATTTGGCAGGAAACGAGCCCACAGAACTTCCAATGAGTCACTTCAGTCATAAATCCACCAATGACTCTTGGGGGTGAAACAAACATCCAGTCATTTGGACATCTGGGGCGATGTGCTGGCTCAGCCGATTGGGGGATGAGTGATTCACCTGAAATCCCTAACCAGTCCACTTCCCTACACCTCCAGTCGTACCTCCTCAGGTTCGGTACTTAGACCCTCCTGGCACCCCAAAGACCTTCTCAGCAGGTACGACTGGAGGCCTAGGGCTTCTCTTCTTCTTCCAACGGCTTTGACCGTTAGGTGGGTCTCTTAGTTGGGACCCAGAGCCGCTGAAAACGCTCTCACCGGTGCCATGTTCGACCTGCAGGATGGCATGGTCAACCGATATGATCCATGCAGTCGCACTGATTCTTCAGGATTTTTTCGGCACGAAAACGGGACCCGACCTTTTGGCACAATCATTACCCGTTTGGCCTCCAGTCGTACCGAACCTGAGAAGGTCTTTGGGGTGGGTGCCAGGAGGGTCTAAGTGCCGAACCTGAGGAGGTACGACTGGAGGTGTAGGGCAATGTCGAAGACATCGCCGTTCACATGAGAATGTACGACTGAATCCTAATTGGGACGTTGGACCTTATCAACATTCCGCCGATTCGAACCGGCCAGTCGCACTCTCTGCGTGTCAGAGTGAAGCCGTTCGAGGGTGAAACCCGAAGGCGGTGTATGGTTGTCTTTGGAACGTTCTGGTTCGAACTATAGCTATAGCGCTTTGCCTAGATCGGGTGAAACCTATAGACACGAGTTGAGGGGTGGTTCTGCATCTCCCGTAGTCTCGATGCACCTGCGAAAATGAGTGCAAGTACTCCGGGACGCTACGAACGGAACACAGGAACATCGCTACGAACGGAGCGATCGGACGCTACTAGGGTTAGTATAGGGGCTCCTGGCCTTACTGCTAGGAACAAGGATGCTACGAACGGAGCTTTTAACGCGGTCCTTTAATAAGCTGTAGGCGGAGTCGGGTTCAGGCAGTTCAGTCCCATGGTGCGTCTGGTTTGGTCGGATCAAACCCAGTAAGGCCCATGACTTAAGTCATTCATGCCGAACTTTCAGATACAAGTCGGTACAAGCACTTGGATCGAAAACTGCCAGTTTTGTTCAAGTCTCGCAGCAGAAGCGCATGTGTCAGGAAATTCTTGCCAGCATATCGTGCAAAGAGCTGCCATGTGATTGGGGCTTTCTGCAGGCCGTGCGCTGAGCGGAATTTCCTCTCGACAAGCACGGCATTACGGCACGTCTGCCGTACCCGACACCGACTTCGTCGTACCTCCTCAGAAAGGTATTTGGACCCTCCAAACCAACCCCAAACACCATCTCTAAAGGTAGGCATAGGGATATGCAATTCGAAGCAAGGCATGCCTGGACCATCCTGTCGGGGTGTCAAATGGAGATTCATCAGTCATAGTGTAGGGGATTTCATTGGGCACCCCGACAGGATGGTCCTGGTTTGTTGTTGTGTGTTGCGGAAGTTCCATTTTCACGAAAGCTAACAGGTGGGTTCCTGTTTTGACATGTGTGGCTCACTAGGTGACATCCACTTGTCTAGTTTCTCCCCGAAACTCGAAGCGCTATAGGGTTCAGCAAACAACACCCTTACCAAAAGGCTCAGGGATTCCGAGGACCCGAACAGGCCCTGTTCCATCTGAAAACGCCAGCACGGTGAAACACAACTGACAAACGGACTGGGGTTTAGTAAATGCCTAGCAAATGCCTATAGGGAATACATACTGGAATACATGGGAATACACAATTTCCAGGATACATTGTTCCTCTTCCCATTCGCGCACGCGCGTTAAACGGTTTCACAAGGCCCGAGGTACGTCTTCTTGCTGAAGTTGAAGGCCAAGAAGGTTCCATCGTTCCTGGTTGGTGTTAAAAACCACTTCAAAAAAAAGGATGGTTCACTTGAGAGACAAAATTTGGAATTGAAACATCTGGCGGTTCACGAACACAACAACGCAACACTCTGGCGATGGCCGAAAAACAAGCTATAAAGTTCCAAACCACCCAAACCAAAACACATTGAACAAAACAACGGAACAAACAATCCAATCGCAAATTGAAACTTTGAATGCCGCATGCCACATGCCCACCTCGGTGTGAAAGCCTATGAGTACCAGGAGTAAGGTATGCAAAGCGGTCTGAACATTAAATCCTCCAACGCCTAGAGCTCGTACATCTCAGAGGTTACAAAACTCTTGGCTGCAGTGAAGTAACCACTGCACAGGCCGGAACACTGTTCTATAGTTAAGAACGGGACCAAGTTCTCAGGTAAAACTGCAGGTACGCCGAGTTGATCAGACTTGGTATCGCATGATTGTGGTAGCTTCGTTGAGTGCGGTCCCACAATCATGCTGCACTCCCCAGCACTAAAAGACCAAACAGTTCCCTGTGAGACCAAGGGTTTCACGCACACACACGAACCCCCTTAGAGGGGGGGCTAAATTTAGGCTAGGGGCCAGACTAAGGTGCAAGTGTGCGCGCAAAGCACAAAAGTATGAAGACATGAGAGGAAGACGAGACAGGACAGTGTATGTGGTTGCGATGAAAAGGAACCAAGTGAACAGGAACAACCAGATGAGCCATACCTCATTATAACCACATGGGAGACCTCAGACCTGGGCTTAGTGCACGAGTGCACGTGCAAACTAAGGGCCGGACGAATGTGTGCGCAAAAGAGAGAATGAGATGACAAGACATGAAGACAGAAAGGACATAAAACGAAAAAGGAAAAGAATGTATGTGTGTGTGCGCGAAGAGAAATGAAAAGGGAAGCCAAATGGAGGGGCCGGAAAAGAGTGAAGCCGAGCCTCATTAAAGGACCAGTCTGTATGTGCACATAGGGCTCCGGCAGATTTCGCTGGGTCTTGAGTACGACGGCCGCTGCGGCCTCCATGCCAAAAATGGCGGGCTACTCATCATGAGGTCTTAATTGACGTTTGGCACAAGCCTCCTGCGCTCGCTGCGAGCTACTCTGCTCTCCGGCAGGGAGAATGGGACAAACCCCCGTTCAACGGGGCGACGAGGGGCACTCCTGTGCCTCACCCCGGGCTGGCACAAGGCCAAACACTCTTGAGAAGTGAAATTGAATGCCACATGCCACACGCCCACCTAGGTGTGAAAGCCTAAGAGCACCAGGAGTAAGGTATGTAGAGCGGTCTGAACATGAAATCCTCCAAAGCCTCCAACGCCTAGAGCTCGTACATCTCAGAGGTTGCAAAACTCTTGACTGCAGTGAAGTAACCGCTGCAAAGGCCAGAACATTGTTCTAGTTAGGAACGGGACCAAGTGGAAAGTGCGGGTACGCCGAGTTGAGCGCGGTCCCACAATCATGCCGCACTCCCCTGCACTTAAAACCAACAGGTTCCCTGTGATTCCAAGGGTACACAAACTTGAGCACACATCGTTGACAACATACCTCCGCCCAGCAGAAGAAATCGCCCATATGGACCATCTGGACCATATGGTGTAACTGCCAGGCTTCGCCATCGTGTAATGTGCTCCTCTCAAGGTCTCAATGTGAGGATCGCCATGTCCGCCACCCGAAGTCGTCGTGGTGGTGGGCTCTGGCTCCGGGGCCGTGCAACCTGACGCAGGGCAGGGGTGCAGGGCAGGCGGTGTGGACGAGGGACCTGGCAAAAGGAGTGATTTCTGCATGAGAAATGGACTTCTGCCAGCTGAGAGCTCTCTTAAGTCTGGTTTGGGTGGCCTAGCATGTCAAAGGACTTCCCGGTCAGCCAGTTTGCGGGTTGTTCAACAAGATGGTGGGTGGAGTGCAAAGGTGAAGAAATGAGTAATAACCACAAGCACATACAAGCACAGTCACTATCACCATAACGAGAACGACAATGACGACTACTTCAACTTCTTAAACATGTGTATGTTATTTTTTTAAATGTCATGCGAGTCGGGCAGTTCATGGTGCACGGACGTCTCGTTTCTTTGACCCATGCCAACTATTATTCTGTTCTGTTTCCCTGCACCTCCAAGTGACCCTCCAAACCCACCCCAAAGACCTTCTCAGCAGGTAATTGGAGGCCCAGGGTTTTGAAGCACCTTTGGGATTTGCATCTCTTTTCATGCATCAGTCCAAGTTTTTTTTCAGCCACCGTTTCGGCCCGTGAAACGGCGACCATGACCTCGGGTGACCAACCGCGTGACCAACAAGCCGAATCAACCGTTCTTTGTTCGTATGCCAAGAGATGGCTGCTATTCCGGTGCCAACCTCACAAGCACCAACATGGAAAGAACAGGAACCAAACTATGTAACCCAAACCATCCATGGGACGGGCCTGTATGATTACATTGGGGTTGGAGGGGTCAATGGGGTGGCATACATTCCATAAATGGATAGTCTGGGAAAGTAGGAGCCTGGAGCCTGGGGCGAGAAGCTCCACCAAGGAGCTGGACCTTCCAAAGTCTCAGTCCGCTCAACCCTCAAGACGCAAAAATGCAAAGGAAACAAAACATACCCTACAGGTACAGTTGGACCCGATAAAACCCAGTTCTTTACCTCATTGAGTAGTGTGTTTTGCAAGATCAGCAAAATGATATCAAACTATAACCTGTATAGCGATAGAAAGCGCCAAACATACAATTCCGACAACTCCTCTGCCGCATCCCTGGCTGACACATCATAGCTTTAAGAATTCATGTCCCCCAGGTCGTCGACCGCACAAGCACAGACAATGGCAGAAAAACTATCAAAGAGCTTTGGACAGATTGGAGGGAATGGCAGGAGATGATATCGATCGCGTGATAAATTACTTGTAATTAAAAGCACAGCTTGAAGTATACAAGAATATACCAAGTAATTTCCTGTCTCCCATGCTGCTTATGAACAAACTCACTGATGTCTCCCTACGTTTCAGGGAAAAGGCTCAGATTAAAGCTAAAATGTAGCAACAGTTAAACTCCAGGCTATCGCTTCATGTAAGCCTATGGAACCACAGGGAGCCTGGACAGGAAATGCTAGCTCGGGCAAAGGCGGAGTCGGACTGTTTGGGTATTACCTATATCCCTAGTCCGGTCGTACCTTCTCAGGTACGGCGATGTGTTCGACACCATCATGTATGTGCCAGGAGGGTCCGTTTTCGTAGCCTTCTCCTGAGGTTCGGTACGGTACGAAAACGGACTCCCAAACGGGTTTTTCGGTCTGGTGTACGGCTCCACGGCTGGGCGAGAAACACTCCATCCGCAGGTTGTAGTTGTCGATGCCACAGCCACCGGTGGGACGCGAGATGCAAAAGATCGTCACATCCTGTCGACAGGTATCTGTGTCGCTGCACTGCTGCAAGCCATCCTGGAGCGGGGGATCCGAAAGCACAAAAGGAGAGGACCGCAGGTCACCGCAGTTGGTTTCTTCGCGTATCCGGACTTGATCTCCTCATTGGCTCGGTCACTTCATGAAGTCGACCGGTCGTTTGGAGACTGGGACTCCCCAAGTTCGGTGAACTGAAGAAGCCAATATCAAAACACTGAACACACTTCATTTGGTACCCTATTTCATCCGGGCCAAAACAAGCAACAGAATCCGGGTTTGGGGTTTAGGGGCCCTTTTACTCCCCCCTGCGTGAAACGGTGGAGAAGGTCCGACCCCTACCAGTTTCGGTCGAGCCCAGGCTCACTCGGATTCTTAGGGTCTTAGGGTACTACAGGGTCAAAGATCCAAGTGGGTACTTCAGGGTACTACAGGGTACTACACTGAACACGCTTCTTTGGTACTAAAAGGGTCAAAGATCAAGGATTCACTGCGAGAGGAGTTGATCTCACCACTCCTTCACCCCAAGTTCACGGACCCCGGATTCCGGGACGCTGGGGCGTGAGACGCCCACCGGACATGGCATAGGTTTCAACCACCCCAAAGTGGTAAATATATGCACTCGAGGTGTCTATAAATAGCATCAAAAAGAGGCTATACACAAACCACCGGACGAACGGAAGGTCCTGGTCCCAAACGGGTCGTGTCTGGATCTTGGATTGAAGTACTTAGGGAACATATTTGCATTGTCCCTACACCTCCAGTCGTACCTCCTCACAAGGTATTAGGACCCTCCAAACCCACCCCAGTCCCACCTTCTCAGAAGGTACTTGGAGGCCTAGGGCCTAGGGTGTCAAAAGCACGCCCAATTGGAGCCCCTTCAGCTGAGCGTCTGTAGAGGTCCGGCAGCTCTGGGTGTAACAAAAGGTCCCTCCGATACAGCCTTCATCCTCCGGCGTTCCGCTCTTCACACAGGCCCCCAGGATCTTCGTGTTCGGAGGCGTCACGAAGCAAATCTGGTTCCTCGGATCGAGCTCTGGACCCGACGAACGTCTTCGCCTGGACCCGACGTTCCTGGCTTTGAACATGGGAACGTTCCCAAACACAGGTAATCCTAGACTTCCAACCACTATTAAACTAATAGATATTAATTGGCCGAATCCCGAACCAGCTAAGGACTTTACACAACAAAAACCAGTTCAACCCTTTTTTTAATGGTCTTGGAAGGCTAGGGGTAATCGGGTTCTTCAGTTCGTGACCGAACTTGATCTCCCAGTTGGTTCGGTCACGAGAGCGGGGGCCGAAGGTTACGAAAGGGGAATCCAACGAGGTCACTTTGTACCCCCTTGTTCTGAGGTACGAGTTCTGGGTTGACTCCAGGTACATCCGGTTTAGCCCCCGAGATTGAGCTTCGGAAGACCATGGGGACCTCTGAAAAAAGTGAGAAACACACACATCTGAACGGAGAGGGTACACCTGAACCCAAAGCAGCAAACCTAAACCCAAAGCATCCATGGAATGGAATATTGAGCCCAGGTCAAGAACTGCGGGCAATGTGAATATGCCAGTCCCATGGATGGTCTGGGGACTAATGAAGATCACCCCCGATCTTAAGTATACGTATAGTGGAAAGCACACCTCTTCCCAAGCGGCCAGGCGTGTGGACGATTGTTCGGTCGGTTGGGTGATGATCCTCTACTGACGGTGACTGCTCGGACACACGAACATGGTTTCCCCGAATTTGGGGGCCACAGCCATGTGAACAACGCTTACCATGAGCAGTCGGCCTTTGAAAACAGGGCCCTTCGATGCTCGAAGTTCACCGTGAGACCTCCGCCTGTGGATTGAACAGACCTCTTCGTGGGAGGTGTCAATCAAGATCCTACATACGTCGCGTAATCCGGGACCAAGAGTATCAGCCCTTTCCGCCATTGAACCAGAACTCAAGAGCCTCCAAAATTACAGCGATGCGTTGAACAAAAAAAAACATCTGGCCATGGTAAGATCCAATATTATATAGCAACACACACCGGTTCGATTTCAAACCCATCATTCCCGGACTCGGTCTTGGTGGTCCATGACATTCCCGGACTCTATAAACAGCTTCCCTGCAGGAGAAAACATGTGACCCACACGCGACCCGGACTCCCGAATCCTCTGGAGATCTGGGGTCGAACCGATATCCCATTGGGTTCGGGACCCGGAAAGGGCGTCGTGAACGACGGGAGCGTCTGGGTGACCGAACCGAACGAATACCTGTTCTTGTGGAAAGATGGGGAAACCATCACTCCCAAAAGAGGTTTAGGAAGGTTAAGTCGGGTTCTAACATCCACGGATCATGGACCCCCAGAAATGGTTGGGATGGTTGTCCGATTATATATCCATACTTCCAGGGTGGACAACCATCATAGCAAAACAGGGCTCTGGGCTCTGGGTAATCCTGGTGGTGCATGAGCTTCCATCGAAAACCCTCCTCCAAGAGCTTCCCTCACTGTCAGCGCCATAGCGACCCACGCCCCGAAGCTTCCCCCTGGTGGTCACTCTTCCCCCACCACTCCAAGGTGCCGGTCCTGAGACTCAAACTGCACTCCCTCGAAGCGGCACGTGGTCGCTTGCACTCCCTGTCTTGGATTTGCTGGGAGCCCGGAAGCCGGTGAAAAAAAACAAAGAATCCCATTCTTGAAGAGGATTCACCCAGTTCGGGAATATGTTTAATAATCAACCGATTCGCAAGGCAGAAAAAAAGGGCCTCGGCGTAGGGGCAAGTCGAGGAACCATTGGCGTCCCCGAACCAACATCCAGCGTAGTCCACCTCCGTGGCGGAAGCGCGTCAGCCAAATGCCGGCTGTGGTTTCGAGGTTGGCGGAGAACGACTGAAGGCGGTTGTGGCTTCGCGCCGACTTGTTGGGCGCGTGGGTTCAAACGAGAGTTGGGGGGGAGGGAGGGCGAGATGGACTCTTTGGAGCAATACGACTAGTAGTAACAAAAACAAAACAAGAACAAGAAGAACAACAACAACACCACCAACAACAACAACCACAACGACAACAACAAGGTACCAAAAAGAACTACAGCCCCATCAACACGTAATTACGGTATCTTCATACTTTGTCTCTACCCCCTCACCTAGCAAAAAAGCTGCAGCCCCGCGGTTGTTTGTTCAGGTACTGGTGGTGGTGGTAGTAGTAGTAGTAGTAGGTTAGTAGTCGTAGTAGTAGTAGTAGTAGTAGTAGTAGTAGAGGAAGTAGTAGTAGTAGTAGTAGCAGTAGGTTAGTAGTAGTAGTAGTAGTAGTAGTAGGTTAGTAGTAGTAGTAGTAGTAGTAGTAGTAGTAGTAGTAGTAGTAGTA